GTGAACAAATATACAAAACTAAGCTGGAAAAATGGAAGGATTTCAAGCACCACTACGCAAACGTTAACGCAAAGGGCAAGAAACCTATATTTCCGGAGAAGATCAGCAGCAACAATTTAAAAGCGTTTATTAGACTACGTATTGGACATACGATTGTTACCCATGAATCTGTCCTGAAAGGTTCGAGGTCGCCACAGTGCCCCTATTGCAACGTGGAAACAATCACCGTAACTCATCTCCTCGACAGATGTCAGCATTTCGCTACAATCAGAGCTAGCATCTTCAACAACTCCATTGCATCCAAGTTATTGAAAAACCAGGACATTGAATCGATATCTAAAATTAATGAATTCCTTAGGTTAACGAATCTTAAGAAATTAATCTAGTGTTAATTATCTGTAAGAAGCAATTTAGGTTAATCTAAGTACTGAACATATGTATATATATATTAACTAGCGCTCCTTTTTCCGGTAAAGAAGTGACCTTCTCTTCTTTTCCTTTAATAATAATAATAATAATAAATGCTATATAAAACGAAAGTCAAAGTCTGAAAAAGCAGAAGCAACAGGACCCAACGAAATGCATATTTTCAATGAATTGGAAGAAGCTGTTATTAAATTAACTGGGTTGAAAACCAGTTCTTCAGGCATTGTTGGTGTTATGGCTTGTGGTTCAACAATTCAAAACTGGCGTGGATGCATCCCTGCACTGAGGGAAAAAAATATTAAAATCAAATAGAAACGTAATTGATCTTACTATAAACGTCAACGCAAATACTGTATATTGGTAAATATTCAATTCACTTACGCGCATATTAAAATGACCACGTTCGTACTGAAAAAGCATCCATGAAGTGAATAATCAAGACAAAAACTAAAAAAAAAAAAAATTTAATTTGCATGTTGCCTGCAGTGGAATGCGAACTCGACCATCTCCGGATATCAACAACTAGTGGCAAGCATCTTTGCGCACTCAGCTACACCCAGGCATATAAATTTGCTTTCAAATGTTGAATATCCATCAACACCACAGCACGCGATGTGTACGGATAAACATGTATTTACTATGTATGTATGTGTGTGTTGTCTCCGCTCTCAGAGCGGCGCTCTGCATGCTTGGGGTGCGTATGTACACTCACATATACATACTCAGACGTGAACAGTCAAATACGTGCGTAATAAATTTTGTATGAAAATATTATTTTTAAATACGAACATTTTTAAACGATAATCAAATATAAAGTATTCATTTTTACTATGCATTATTTCCCTCAGTGTGGTTACTATGTCCGACATCTCCGCATTCTAAAGGCAAAAAAGTTCTAGTATTGGCAGAATTTTGTGAATTCATTTCCATACCGCGCTCTTCCTCCGCTACTACAATTGCAAATACAATAGAATCCATCACTTTCTTCAAAATATATAAAATCAAACAATTTTACAATAAATAAGCATTTGATGAGCGTTTTTTAATTCCTTTCACTTTCCTTCATACAACTGACTTCGAAAAACAACCGATAACTGGAAATGCTGCACGTGTTTTCGAAAGGGTTGCAGCATGTCGACTTTTCGTTTTTCGTAACGTAGCTACGACAAATTACGAATTAGGAAAATTCGGGTTCTAGCATAAGGGTGATAAACTACTATCGGTAATTTGCAAATATATACCTAACTCACTGTCTATACGACGATGAAAGTCGCATAGAAATTTTTGAAATCAGCGACCGTCAAATTTGAAAAAAATTAAGAAAAATAGGGGCTTATTATAATTTAACCAATGAAAACTCCCAACAAGCTAAGTCTAACAATATATTATTATACATGAAGGCCTATCAATCCTCTTTCCAAAAACATTTCGGGTTTTTAAAATCAGATTAAAATAGTGAAGCAGTTAATAGATAAGTGCAGTGGAGGGTTCAGGTTGTACTCGACCATAGCTACAACCTACACTAGGTTTTGTTTCGGGTGTATTTCGTGACTTTTTTTTGTAGCACCGTGTTAGCAGTGTCCGTTTTGTAGCAGAGTCTGATGTTTGCGGGTGTGTTTATTATGTGGAGCATTTTTAAAATAAAACGCTTATTATAGTGTTGCTCTTGTTAGAGAATCGTTGCTCCTTCGAAGTTCAGAGAGTGTGTATACACTTAACAAACATACAAATAAACAGTACAAAACTCCACGTCACACATTTTGTGTTTATTTATTGTTATACAAATTGTTTTCATAGTATGTATTTTATGTTTTATTGTCAATAGTTGCCCTGAAGACGGTTGCCGCGGTGTAAACGAAATATATCGCAGAAAATTTAAAACTTGAGTTTTTATTAATTTTCTGAAAACATTAGACCTCGTGTCGGTAAAACTAACATATAACATGCCGCCAAAACCATAATCATATAAAAATTTCTGATAAAAAGATAATTCGCATACCTTCCTTAAAATCAGAAAACTCAAATACGATGTCATCCCCATTGAAAAGCTCCATTCCAGACTTTAGCTCGAAATCTTTGTCACTGACCATTGTAATCCCTTCACAGACACATATAAAGATATACGTAGGGTTAAAAACATAACAAAACCTTTTAATATACATATCTTACGCAGTGCACTTTTACCATTTTCAATGTTGTCATCATTTAGCCAAAAACCAGCTGGTTCAGTCATGGAAAACAACTCGATGGACAACGGCGATATCGGCTCCGTTTTGCCGTCCCAATAGAGATCCTGAGGCAAAGCTAGCGACTCCATTGCTGTTTTGTCTGTTACGGCTGTCATTTTCAAAGCTGCTTTCATATTCTTTACTTATTATGGAATATGGTAAAGATGATTTAGAAAGTTGTGATTTGGAGGAATCTTGTCCTGAAAACGCGGTTGTTGGTGTGAAGGAAGCCATGATGGCTCTAATTTGGAAAAAGAAATAAGTCGTAATTTAATTTCATGATTTAAATGTATTAAATAATGTGTAGTTTGAGGTCTTGAATACAGTCCGAAGCAGTTTTGCGAAGAATTAAACGGGATATATACCACCTTACCGGATCTTGGCAATCCTACAAGGATGCCCTGAAAGCCTTTAAGAGTTCAGTACGAACAGCTCAAAAGGAATCTTGGAAAACTTTCTGCGGCAATATTGAGGAAACCTCGAAGGGCAACCGACTACGGAAGGTCCTATCAAAAACTCCAGTTTCCCCAAACTATATCCAAAAACCTGATGGTAAATGGACCTCCTCTTGCAGCGAAATGCTAGATGTTCTCATGGACACCCACTTCCCGGAGTGTACAACAGAACCAAAGGCAGACGCGACAAATCAGATGACTTATCTTCCACAGAACTCAGTAGAGAGCATAGTGCAACAAGAAAAGGTTAAAACCCTATAAATCTCCCGGGCCGGACGGCATATTCCCTGCCGAAATTCAGCAGGCAGTCGACCTTTTATGCCCACTGCTTTCTGAGATCTTTAAGGCCTGCCTTCGCCTTTGTCACATTCCTAGAGGATGGACAAAGGCTAGGGTAATCTTCATACCGAAAGGTGGAAGGGTCTCTCACGTGAAACCCAAGGACTTCAGGCCAATAAGCCTAACGTCCTTTCTTCTTAAAACTCTAGAAAGACTTCTTGACGCCCACATCAGACAGCGCCTTTCTTCTGAGGACGTGTCGGAGTGTCAACATGCTTATTCTAAGGGCAAATCCGTGGACACTGCGCTCCACGAAATTGTGTCCAAAACTGAAAAAGGACTCGCCTTTAAGGAATTTACCTTAGGCATCTTTCTTGACATAGAAGGCGCCTTTAACAATATTCTTCCAGAGGCCGTGGTGGGCTCACTTTCCCAAGTGGGGCTGGAGCGGCCTCTTCTTGAAAGAAGAATTATCTCGTTAGAGTTGGGGGCGCGTCGATAACCAGGCATGCAACGAGAGGTACTCCTCAAGGAGGAGTTCTCTCCCCCCCTACTCTGGAACCTTACGGTAAACTCAATTCGGATGAGACTGCAGAGTACCGGCTGTCACGTCGTAGCGTATGCCGACGTATGCAGTCACGGGCAAGCATCTCCAAACGCTAAGCGAACTTTTGCAAAGCGCTCTCTGTCTCGTGAACAGCTGGTCGAGGGAGTGTGGACTTAAAGTTAATCCCACCAAGACCGAAATGATACTTTTCACGAGGAAATATAAGATACCGTCTTTTCAGCTCCCCTCCCTAAACGGGGTGGGACTTACACTCTCCAACGAGGTTAAATACCTCGGCTTAATTCTCGACAGGAAGTTGGACTGGAGGCGGAACCTTTCGGAACGATCCAGGAAAGCCATTACCGCCCTTTACGCCTATAAGGCAGCGGTGGGGAAACGATGGGGTCTGAAACCACACATAATACACTGGATGTATACGGCGGTTGTCCGACCCATCCTTTTCTATGGGATTACCGTATGGTGGCTGGCTCTAGAAAAATCCACTTACAGAGGCATATTGGACCGAGTACAAAGGGCGGCAACCATGTTAATCACGGGTGCCCTGCCCTCTACTCCCAGTAGGGCTCTGGAGACTGTTTTGAATCTTCTCCCTACCGATCTCTACGGTAGATATCAGGCCAGCTGCAATGCAACTAGACTGAATGCAGCTCATACATGGAGAGACCATAGATTCGGTCACTCAAAAATTCTGAGCACCATTCCAGCAACCTTACGTAAGCTGGATTACATCAGTCCACATCTCTGCTTCGAAAATAGGTTTTCTACCAGAATTCCAGACAGAAGAAACTGGGTAAATCGCTTGGACTTAGATCCAGGATCTACCGCTGTATTTACGGACGGGTCAAAGCTCGACAATAAAGTTGGAAGCGGAATCTACTCCAAGGAACTCTCGCTAAACATAAGCAGGCGGGTACCTGACCACTGCAGCGTTTTTCAGGCGGAATTAACAGCCATAAGGGAGGCCGCCCTTAGGCTTAAAAGTGGCACAAATTATCCACAATCCGTCACTATCTACTCTGACAGCCAAGCAGCGACTAAATCTTTGCAGTGCAGTAACACTTCCTCAAAGGTGGCTGCCGAATGCAGAAGTACCCTAAACGAGCTTACCGAGAAACGTGGTATGGGTACCCGGGCATAGTGAAATACCGGGAAACTGCGCGGCAGATGAGCTGGCGAAGAGGGGGAACTGAACTACGCTCAACAAACTGCGCTCGATGCAGGCGTTCCCCTGTCCTCGAGTAAGCACCAACTGAAATCTATTTTTATTAAATTGGCCAACGAACGTTGGGCGAAAGAACCGACATGTTCTGTTACAAAACAGATCTGGCCAATTATAAACGAAAAACGATCTAAAACTCTCATACAAATCGACCGCCCCATTATTAGCACAGTTGTAGGTATAATTACAGGACACTGCTTAATGGGAGCGCATGCTAGGCGAATGGGTTATCGCGCAAACTATTTCTATCGTGCCTGGACGAGGAGGAGGTGGAGAGTGTAGAACACTATCTCTGCCACTGCCCCGCCCTGACAAGTATCTTTAGTCAACATACTTTTCGGTGTTTAGCCGATCTCGACTCTGTGGACATCCGCGACCTTCAACGATACGTTAAGGTCACACGATGGTTCTATCATTTGGGAAACTAGGTGAAATGAACAAGAGCTCGTTCATAGTGGCATCACAATGGGTCAAAATGGCCTAAGTGTGTCTCTCTGCCGTTCCGTGCGGAGTGACAACCACCGTAACCTAACCTAACCTATACCACCTTACAAGCAAACAAAACAAGTTCGCCGTACACTGCTGAGTCTAACCCCCCCCAATTATGAATTTTCATGCGATAAGACGATAAGAGGATTGCAAGCGTATCGTATGAAATCAGTTCTCGTATTATCGTTTTCTGTGGTTTTTGTCCACTTTTTATTGTGAACCAGCACAAATCAGCTCGCTAACTATCGGATTTCATACGAAAACATCGATTCGTAATAGAGAATATCAGAATGCAAGCGTTTATCGTGTATCGTACGAATTCATAATAGGGGGGTAAATTATTATGCAATTTAGGAAAAAAAAAATTTTTGCCAACCTATTTGTACATTTTTCTTTTTCTTTCGTTCGGAAATAAATTTTTTTAATAGGTCTACTGAAATAATCGAACCATACAAAAGTTCAATGATATTTGGCGAGCTTTATTTTACTGAGATTAGAGGGGTACATTAGGGGGACAAGAACTGAGATCTGGTGGGTAAGTACTAGGACGGGATGCTTGAGGCCAATAAACTTTGGAACAAAAAAAAAATTTTCCTTGAGGCAAGAACTTTGATATATCATACTCTAAGACTATGCCGGCCAAAACGCACATTGTGCAGTTTTGCCTTCGAGTTTTCACACCAACCCTATTACGAGTGTCGATTAGTAGTAGACGAACGACTGTTAGTCGATTATCGATTATCCGTGGTATTTTCAAAGTCCTTTTCTCGTTCAATAAGTGCGTGTTAATAGTTAGCTTATCCTTCTACAAACAAACAGTTGTAGAAAAATGAGAGATAAAAAAAAAAACTATTCACAGTCACTTATTGAACGAGAAATCGACATTCACAATACCATGGACAAGCGATAATCGAATAAGTCTACTACTAGCCGACACTAGCAATAGGGGAGTATGGATTCGTGTGAGAAACACGCTGGACTCGCATACTTATGCAGATGATTTAGTATTTGTGTGGCCGGCATTGGTCTAAGATACGAATGTGAATTTTAAAGAATTTTCATAATTTCTGCCCAAAGTTTAAAGTGTAGATTTATATGGTGTTTATTAAGTAATCAGATATATTTTAATAAGAAAAAAATAACCATTAAATAAACTAAGGAATAAGTAATTTTTAGCAAAAAAAAACCGACTTAAAAAAAAATATATATATCTATATATTTCATGATTCAATGATCGGATCTAAACCAAATTATGGGACCACCTCTGAGACACTACCTTTCCGTTGCAAAAAGAATTATCGAAATCGGTTGACGTGGTCCAAAGTTATGCGGTAACATACATAAAAAAAAAAAACAATATTCCGACGAACTGATAACCTACTCCTTTTTTGGAAGTCGGTTAAAAATAGCCAAAACTTGCTAAAATGTCGCGTGCCACTTTATATTTGGGTCACTGTATTTTTCCCAAAGAAGGGCGTAGGGGCGATTTTCGTAATAAAATTTTTGTTACGAATGTTTAAAATTTTAGTTTGAAGTCTTTTATTCGCAACACTTAGAAAATAACGAAATAAAGCAAAACTCTCTGGTAAAACAATAACTGAAAAATTTTATCAGGGAACGTTTCGAATATATGGACACCAAAATAAAATTAAATAGTTTGGTTGTTAAAAACTTAAAAAGCGAGCAGCTTTTCCGATATAAATTAATGGCGTTTTCTTTTCTCGAAATAATGTTGCCCATTTTTCCTCAGCCCTTTCACAGCTTTACGTGTTCGTTTCTCAAAATATTGCCCTCCATCTAAGCAAAAGTCCAAGACTTTCCACTAAAATAACCATTTTGCAGGACAAAAACTAACGCTTATCAAAACTTTTGTTTTTGCAAACTTGGTTAAATAACACAGGCCAACAAAAATGGAAACAATTTTGGAAATGATAAAGCTTACGGATTCCTAGCACAAAAAAGTCTATCAAAAACAGCTTTAACATTCGCCTCACCAAAATCAGTGTTGCCCTGTGTAATAAATAATTATCGTATTATTTAAGGCTAATTAACAAGAGAATTAGAAATTTGTTATGGAAAAGTGTTTTTGTGAATACTCAATGTAAAAAAGTGCCTTTAAAATTTCGATTAATAGATTATTTCTCAATTATTTTTTTATTGGCTTGTGATTAATCATATGATTAATAAATCGATTATTTTATATTTTTTTTTTCATCCCTAGAACCAGGGCATATGATCGATCGTCTGCGTCT